CCTCTCTGGCTCATTCATCAGTTGAGAAGAAAAGAGACATATTAGTTCAGCCAGCATTTTTGAAGGGGCGTGTATATCCTCAAATGAAATAAAGGAAAAGAAGAATTATCAGATGTAATGTTGGTAATGCAAAAGGTTGATAATAAGCCACTGAAAACCAAATGCACCAAATATTTTGTCCTTATATGGGTAATTGAACAGCTGGGTATGAACAGTCCAAACAACGAATTATGTGGCAACAACTCATGTATGATGGAACCATCAGAGTAATGGCGTACAATATAAGGAGTAAAAATTATCAATTGGTTCTCTTAAAATTAAAATGAATTAAAGAAGACAAGCAGAAAGATAAGGTGCCTTGTAGATTTGCACTCTGAAGGAAAGCACCAGCTAACAAAGCTCCACGAAGATTTGCCCCGATAAATTCACATCTTCCCTAGGCAAAAGATGAAATAAGTAAGTAAGAGGCCTGCGAGCGTGATGCAACAGTACAAAGGGGAATAAGTATATTTTATGAGTGACTTACTCACGCAAAGTTGCATTGTGAAAGATGGAGGACTCGGCATCAACATCCGTCAAATAAGGTGGGTTCAGGAATACTTGTAAATTAATTAATTGCAGATGATTCAGTGGATAATACCAACTAACTGTACATCTTTTACCAACTTGAACAAGACAAGCATGTGGAATCATGTTTTAAAAAGTAGGAAATCAAAAGTTCAAATAGCAAATAAATTTTGTTTCCAAATACTACATTTACATATTTTTGTTCCTTTGCAACAAAGGGTAGCCAGATGTCCTTGGGTTAGACGATAAAGTTGTTATAGTCATACTGAAAACTCTTGGAAACCTGAACTTAAAAACATCCCAGTTTTAGATTCAGTCGAAGCTCCAGATCTCAATCCTAGGCCGCCACATAGGCATGTATCCATCTTGATCATCTTTCCAGATTAATGTCCAAGCACTAGGTATTTTTAGAACTATACTTACCCGGAAATTTTGCAGATTGAAGGTTTGCACGTGAAAAGAAGACATTTTTAAGACAAGCATAGCTGAAATCCACATTTGATAAATCCTGAAAATTCAAATCAAGACTATCAGGGGATGATGTCGGAAAAATGCTATTTATCATATTCATCATGCTGGGGTTCAAGTCAACATGGCTTAAATTATTGTCAGATCTTATGTTAAAATATCCTGGCAGTGGTTATGGACTTATTGCCAAAATTTATCTCCCCAGATAGCAACTAAAATACAATTGTTTATCATCAACATTTTACACCTATTTCGTGCCTAATGTAATATGCAAAAGTTTCTCCAAAGCAAAAATTTCTTTTTTAATCAAATTAAGATACTGCTTAGATAACAAAGCTCGAGAAATTACCAGTTTAGATAGGTCAAGGCCAGAGAGATTTACCCCCCGAAACCGACTCTCTCTGATTGTATACACTTGATGATATCAGTCCGTGTCAACTGTATGTAATTCATCATCTTCCTTCCTCTTATTATGACAGCATTTATTCCATCTATTAGCCCCTGAACATTTGCAACTACTTACAGTTTACAGCATAGGAAAGTGAGGGAAGCCAAAAAGTAAAAACCACATGAAAGAAGTGGGGCAAAAGGACAAAAACAATGGTATATTTTCTAGTTGTGATATGCCTTATAAGTGGAATGGCATTAACATTTTCTCATAAACTCGATTTAAGAAAACATTGAGAATGCTAGTAGTAACAAAACCCAGCAGAAGTTAATCTAAGAAAGTAGAAGACAACTTTAAAAGCATCTGATAGCAATTTAGAACAATTAAAAGGAGTATAACTTACAAGTAGCTGATAGTATTCTGCCTCCCGCAACAATTCTGTATATTCAGAATCCTTTAGTACAGGCACCGCACCATCTCTCAACCAATTGAGGATGTGCCGAAAGTGTTTTCCATCCCTATCAATAAAGACATATCCCTGTGATAACCCATCGTGAACCAAAAAATTAAACTGAGTTGTCTAATCGAGCAAACGTATATAACTCAACAATTCTATGACCAAACATACCGCATAGCCACCAACAAACATGCGTCTAAATATAGGGTAAAACAGTGATAGGAAGGTCAATCAGTCATCGAGTTCAACAAATGTAGCAGGATTTAATTTTGTAATATATGCAAGAAACATACCAATGCCAAATAAGAGTAACGAGATTACGAGAAGACTCTTACTTCTCAGGGTCTTGGCACAAAGTATGGCGACCACTGAACATAGCAGCCAGCATTGAATCAGGCTCCCGCTCTGTCAAAGTATTGACTGTGGTGCAATATTTCTTCCCTCCTGACATGTGAAACAAAGAACAAACAAAATTCAGCTCAATTTCTTGCTTGTCAAGGACTTGAGATCCAACATATCACGCTCCAAGTCTCAATAATTATACAACTGTCAGTGTATATATATATTTTCCGGGGGTAGGGGGAGGTCGGGAAGAGTTCAGCATTGTGTGACTCGAAAGTGCAGGAACAAGCATGATATCGTACTGTAAATGGAAAAGACATCTAAGGGCTACAGATTCACTATAACCAAGAATGGCGCCATCAACTATCCTAAGCCCAAGTATGCTTATTCCCTTTTCAACAATAACAACAGTCCCAGAAAGATACAGAATGCATGATCGGATTTGAGCATTTCCACCAGTTTTTCTCAGTAACCAAAACAATTACTTGTGAATTAACATTATTTACTGATACGGTCACCCTTAACGAATCTGATACTGAGATGACGAAGATGAAAGAGAAAAAAAATACCTATATTGAGCCAAACCAGAGAAGGAACGTCAGATTCGGAGTTCTCCATTTTGCCGAATCGGGGAGGGAAAGAAAGCAAGGCCAAGAGAAGGAGGTTGATGACTCCGCTAGGCAACTAACAGGCGCATTTCAGAAGTTTATAGGGAAGAACTATTTACCTCAAATTTCAACAGGTATAATATAAATAATATCCCTCCGAATTTGGTTTCACACACACATTCTCGTTCCATATCAATGAGACTTGCATTATTTATTTGCACCTTGATGGAATCAATCCTCGAAAAAGCGTAATTTTTTTTTAAGCTAAAAAAGTGCGAAAATATTTAATTGATAAAAAATGAGACTTTATTAGTTCAAATCACATTGGTTATCCAATATCTTTGCAATATGTACAGCTTCTAAATTTAAAAAAGGGCCCAGAAAATTGATCACATGTACAAAGAGTACAAAGAATTTGAGTATAAATGGGTAACATGTTTTCTTTGAATTCACTACCTTGTAGTTATCACTCATCAATTTAGTTTTATAAAAAAGTTATCAGATTAGTAGTGGACAATAATTACTTAAATTCAATTACAGCCGTCTCGAAAATCAAACAACGATGCCATGTCTCAAAATAAAAACCAGCGTTCCGCACAGCTAACGGTTTATAATCACCATATTTTCTTTGCTGGCCTAAAAAAAATCGCCATACTTTCTTTAATTCTTTAATTAATTAAAAAAGCATAATTATATATATACTCATAAACTTTTTTCATGGCTTACATGTATCTTATAGGAGAAAACACTGTTTTAAGCATACTCATGTAACTTTTTTTCTTTTTAGTTACTCATGAATATTTTTTTATTATAAATAATTTTATTGAAGATATAATCGGATATTAAGTATAAGTATGTCTCTGTATAAAAGTCTGGTAAATGGTCTATGCCCTTTTTGCTCAAAGTGGTTGTCGGCCCATGGCCCAAAGCATTAGAAGACGGATCATCCACATGGCTAATCATGCAGGAAACGAGGGGCAAGAACCAAGTGTTGCATGGTGCCTCCTTACCGTTCCGACGTGGAAGACATTAAACCCCTACACGTTTCAGACTCTCTCCTATTAAACGACGTTTTTTGGGTTTTCGGTTCCTCCCCACGCCCCAGATAGAGAGAGCTCAGAGCAGTTATGGAAACCTCGACGGTGATGGAAACGACGAAGCTTAAGTACCTGTCCTCCATTGCTGAGGACGTCGTCCGAAGATGCTCCCAGTATTACTCTCTCTCTCTCCCTCTCACTTCCCACATTTGCTATGAAAATGGCTACGTAATCATATGGAGACATTTAGAAAATACAGCTTCTTCTTTTATTTTAAATTTATATATATATTCTTTTCCCATTGTTTATGATATACTTCACTATCATCCACCAGAATCACAAAAAAACAGAGCGAAATCAAATAAAGTAATATACGAATACTTGCCTTCTCTTATGGTCGCTATAGAAACTCGATTAAAGCACGAACGTATTTAATTTTTAACAAATTGTGAACGAATAATCTGGATTTTGTCAGGAAACTGGGCACTCCTTTAGAGAAAGTAGTCGGAGAGTTTGAAGCCGGATGGAAAGCTGAACCGGGAAATTATTGCCAGAAATTAGTGGAATTTTGCAGCGAGAGGGCGCTTATTAGTGACATGTGCAACGACATACAGGAAAAGATTAGTGATGGGTCTTTTAGCAGGTTCACATATGACTTGATGCTTGCTTGGGAGAGGCCAAGCTACTACGATGAAGACGAGCACACGGTCCGCGTAACACAATTATTCCTGTGTCTTTCTAAATTGTATCTTTGTGGCAGAGTAAACTTGTATTTATATCTGTGACTGGGACATTTATATGCCTCTGAGATCTGAAAATCTTTTGGGGGACAGGAGGAGTTTATCTTCAATCATATTAATTGCTAGAAACAAGAACTCATATTTTCCAAAGTTCAATCTTGATTTGAAATGACCAAATACACATGCTACAGTTTATTTATTTAATTTACTTTTTGAGGTCTACAGGAGTCTGTTGCAAAGGAGAAAGAAGAGAGGAAGATGCCTCTTAATGTTATCCATGAAGAACGAGATGAAATCCCTCTGTTTTACTCAGACATCATGCCTCTCCTTGTAAGAACTTTGCCCCTCGTTATCTAGGCTTCGAAATCTTTGAGATTTTGCACATTGTTTAATATTTAATGCAGGCTGCAGTATTTCTTTGCATTTAATAATCACTCCACTTTGACAATCTGGTAAACATAGGATTTTTTTCTAAAAAAAAAATATTGGAGTTATTATTCCTGGTTACTGGCTACTTAATTCATACATTTTGTGTAATGCATTTCATGCATGATTTTTGGCAGGTGAGTAATGAGCCCAACGTTGGAGAAGATGCATTTGTGTGGCTGGCATCTTTGCTTCCATTAATAGCAGATGTTGCAAATGGAAGGTTTACTTTTGAAACTTTAACAGCACCAACAGGCCACCGACTACATTTTCCCGCATACGACTTCTTCTTAAAAGAAATGGACAAGTAATACATCTGATTCCAAATATAATTTTTCTCACGCTTTTTAATGGTTTAAAAGTACATAATGCCAGGAAGCCCCTCCATTCTCAGCAGGGACATGCTATTCTGGAATGCATGATTTTTCTTTTCTTTTCTTTTCTTTTTTAGGGGAATAGGATAGGTTAAAATGAAATTTAGAGAATCATCATCATCTTTAGTGGAGAAAGCAAATTAGGCTTACCTATTCTAAAAAGAATTCATGTGGGATAAGTGCAATTTAGAAACGCTTCGGCGGACCTCCAACTGTTTTATGCCTTAACAAAAATTCATAGTATTGGGAAGTGTTTCAGATTCATATCATCAACTTCCCATCCTTTTTAATTAATGTTTCTACAGGTGCATAAGACATCTGCAAAAGCAAGCAACACCAAATGGCATAGAGATGGCTGATGACGAATTTATATTACACGTGGAGGGAACAGCAAACTCTCAGAGAGTAGTTCGACACATTGGAGCAACAAGTTGGGCAGGTCTGTAATTTGATCAGTCTGACTAGTCAAGTTTATGACATGTTGGAACGTCGCCGGTATTTTTAATTATTCAAGGATGTAATGCTGCTTTTTTCCACCTCTCTTACTCATTCATTCTTTCTTTCCAGGTAGGCTTACACTGAGCAACTATGCTCTTTACTTTGAGGCCTCAGGAGTGATTAAATATGAAGATGCTCTAAAAATAGACCTTTCTGGGGACACGGAGCACACCCTGAAACCGGCTGCTACAGGGCCCTGGGGAGCTCCGCTTTTTGACAAGGCTATAATCTATGATTCACCTGAGCTGTAAGTAGATCCCTAAACAAAGGCCTTATAAGGATTCTAGCAGTTATTGACTTGTTGCCATTAATCCATCACCATCACGATTTTGGAGTTATTTTGTTCAACGTGTATATAAAAGTTCCACAGAAGAAAAACTATGCATATTGAATATTTGACTTTCATTTACACTATTGAATTTCAGAAAAAACCTGTGTGTAATTTTGGTGGAAACTCTTCAGTTTTCTCATTCACTCTCTAATGCTAGACCTCTGTCGTCACAATCTTTTAAATGATCTTGGTTTTAGAAGCACTACAAAGTTGTCGAATTATGCCCCCATTATGTATCAACATGATCTTTAATGATTCTGAAATTTGGAACCTTTGGCTCTCTATATATCGCTTTATAGCTTACTAAGTGTAATTTTTTCTCTCTTATGGCTTCAAGGGTGGGGACATTTTATTTTGATGCAATATTTGTTCCCACCTCTTATATATATATATATGTATGTATAACACGTTCGCATCTCTTTATTGGCGTAGAAAATAATCACACGAGCTGATACGAATTACCAGGTTTTTTTTCTTCTGAATTTTGTAGATCAGAGGGCATTGTCCTGGAGTTTCCAGAAGTGACAAGTTCCACAAGAAGGGATCATTGGCTTGCGCTGACAAAGGAAATTATGTTGCTACATCAATTTTTATCAAAATACAAAATAGAATGCCCCGTACGATCATGGGAGATGCATGCCAGGACAATTCTAGGGATTATAAGGCTCCATGCTGCAAGAGAAATGCTAAGAGTTTCACCTCCTGCTCCAACAAAGTTCTTAATATTTTCTTTATATGATGAGATACCAAAGGGAGATTATGTGCTAGACGAACTTGCTGAGAGCCTCAAGAAGGGTAATAGTGCACACCCATGCAGTGCGAGTTCAATCCTTAGAAGTATGGACATTTCTAGGCCCATCATTTCTGGTGCAGAACTGGAAGTTAAAGAGGCTATACAAGCATGTGAAAGTGTTAACGGTCCAGAAGAAAGTGCCTTCTCGCTGGAGACAGCTATTAAACAAGCTATGGAGGAAGAAAAGGAAACTCTCATTGCTAAAGCCACCACTGAAGAGTTAAAAGAGGAAGGAATCACTGACAGCGTTATGGTTCTTATGGTAAGCATTTAACTCGTGTAAGAAGAATCATATTTTTAACTCAATTCATGATATATATCGCTTGCAAACTGTAGTTGACTGTGTCAGAAAATATGGATCATTATAATTTTGTTTAAAATTATTTTCCCAGGAAAGTTAGGGAGTCGGATTCTCTGTTCACTTCAAATGAGGGCAGGGGTTAAGGTCAACATTAGAGATGACAAGGATTGTAGTTTAAACTCACGTTATGTCGAGCAAGCGTTTTAAGATGCTTTAACCCCTCCTGTTTTCCGATGGGAAATTATAGGCTTTCTAAGGTGGAGATAAAACATGACTTGTGTTTGGAATTGAGACTTAATCATGATTGACTTGGAATTTATTTATAGGAGCTACTAAAGCCACTTCAACGTGTAGTCCCTTGGTTTCAAGATATCTTCACATGGCAAAAACCAATGGTTACTCTTACTGTGCTTGCTGCATCCCTGATATTCACCTATATGTAAGTTCTTTTCTTTTCCGTTTTTTCCCTTGTAATCTTTTAGCTTACATATTTGTCATATTGTGTGTGAGACTCTAAAATGTCAAGTGTCGGCCTAGCTAGACGAGAAACTACTTAACATCACTTATATAACACAGGGAATGGATTGGCAAGGCATTGGCAATTTTTCTGATATGGGTAATAACGAAAATGATGGAGGCAAGACACAAAAGAATGAATGAAAAGTGCGACGAGTTAGTAATTAGTACAGCCTCTGAACAGTCTACGATGGAGAGCATCGTGTCTGCCCAACAGGGATTGAACACTGCTCGTGAGGTGATGCAGATAGCAAATGTAACCATATTAAAGATATGGTCAATATTTATTTCTAAGGCTCAGAAGGTATTCCCTGTAACTTGCCACCCTCAGCACTTCCATACGGTAATTCAGTTTAATTATGGGTTTAAAATTTCATTGCGAGGGAATGCTTTCTGTTATTGATGGTGATAATTGTTGTTACTGGGGCAGCATTCAAATACAGTGATGGTGGCATTGGCGGGTTTGGCAATATTACTGGCAATAGTTCCGTTGAAGCTGGTGATTATGGGAATTATATTGCAAAGCTTCATAGCATCAAAAGGAGGCAAGTCTTCGGGAACAGGGAACAGACGACTCAAGGAATGGTGGGATTCAATTCCAGTCATCCCTGTTCGCCTTGTAGACGCCAAGAATCCTGACACTGCTAATTATTAGCTGTTTGTGAGATTGCCCTATATCCAGCATATCATGTAAAGTGTACCTAACGGAAGACATTGAAGAATTCATGTAAAAATTCACGTTTCTACTGTCCCATAAAATGTTAGACATATTTTGGAATGATTGAAGATTAAAGGCTTCCGAGGCAAGATGTGTAACGTGTGAAACTTATTAGGGCAGAGCGAGCCGCATATACAGCAGAAGCAGCAATAAGAGAGGGGCAATACAATATCACGGCGGCATGGTGAACAAGGCTGAATTCAGCTAAGAAATACACTCTGTTCTCCACGTCCTTACCAGAGGGAGAAGAGACTTTGATATACCGAACAAGGAAGACGTATGGTGTAGCAACAGTCAAATACCGTTCTAGCTTCCTCACTGTTATCTCCATCATCAGAACCTGTTCACTTTGATAGGCATTCTCTGCTGGGAAAGTTTTACATTTATTGTCGTGTTATATATGTTTTTCCAATAAAAATATATAAATGTATAATTATTTTTAATAATTTTATTTTAAGAATAAAGTGTCCTTTTTATCTTAATTTTTTACATTTTTTTGTCATTATTTGTAATAGAATTAATTCATATTTATTTTTAATAATATGATAAAAGTTATTTTTATTGACCGAGCGCGTCAACTTGATGCATACCAGTATTTATCCTGCATGCACACAAAGCTGATGTCCGAGAACATAAAATTCCACAACTCCTTCCTCTTCCTTTCTCTTTGATGATCCTTTCCCTTGTGAGGTAAAAATAGTGAAAAGAAATTAAAATTATACATACATGTGAGAATATATTAGATTAATTTGAGAATTTATTTATATTATGTTAGATTAATTTGAGAGTTGATTTATATTTTAAAATTTAATAAATTAACGTGATAATTTAAACCATTAAATCGATAATAGAGAAATTTGAAAAATTACGTTTTATTACCTATCCCACATATGAAATGGAAACCCAAATCGGACCAGTCGGGTTGATCAATTAACCGGCCTCTCCATCAGTCCAGGTTTTTAGTTAATCTAGTCTAGCAATAACCCCTCGGTAACCCAACAAGTTGCTAGGTCATTTTTTTTTTTGGTAAAGTAGCAAAAATACTTACAAAGTAATCAGCCACGGATATCCAGTATCTTAAAGTAACAAAATGGCAAAAATACCCATAACGTTACATGGATGGGTACAAAAGTAACTAGACCTTTAACTTTAACCTAATACTGTTAACTTTGATCGTTAAATGCTGACTATACATGTCACATGTCAGTCTTTGCTGACGTAGATTAAAAAAGCAAAAATACCCACAAAATCATAGGCCAGGAGAAAAAATACCCATACCATTATCAAAGTTAATGCAAAAGTGATCAATTCATCCAATTCTTCAATGACACTTAAACAAGAATTAATTATTTTTTCACTGATATAGATAAAAAATATTTTAGATGAAATTCTCTGAAAGTTAATCGATTGTTGTATGAACATCAGGTGAGAAAATATCATTTTGACTGAATACCAAATTAAATTGCTTGTTTCTTTACAACTGTAACACACCAATTTTTTTTAAATAATTTAACTCAACCATAGTTGGGTTACAGCCACCCAACATATTTTTTTATATCAATAATTTCAATATAAAATATTTTATAATTGGTTTCAACTCACACAATATAACATTTTAGATAAATTTTTACCTCTCACATGCCATTAGGTTAAATCACATTTATCCATTCTTATACTTCCAACAAGTAAACTAAATCACATTTGCCCATCCTTATACTCCCAACAAGTAAAATAAATAATTTAGTCAATTTTCAAAACAAGCCAGTTATTTGGCCTCATAATCATGCCATTTTAACAAATCCAAAGTAAATCAAATATTAAAATTACAGTCATCCAAAGTGTACCAAAAATAAATAATTTGAAAGGCATAATTACATTTATATATTCATATAATTGTCAATAAACAAAAAGTCCTAATATTGGCAATATAGCACATTATAAATCATAAATCAAATACCTAAAAGAGACAGTGGATTTATGCCACTAAGCCTCTAGGACTCCTCTACGTGTCACTCGTGGCTCTTTTCTTAAAAATTGTTAACCATATAATGAGACTCAAAAGTTCCAGTAACCAATACCAATTTATGATAGTATATACCAACAGTTAAGTGTGTACTTATTAAGTGAAAATTAAAAATAATATAATTCCAACAAATATAAAAAATATTACAATACACACAAACAACCATCCTTATATCCCTCCATTAACCTTGAGCCCTAGCCCTCACTCGGTGCTAAATTACCCAACCAAAGGTAGATTAGCCCGAGCCCTTACAAGCCACCTATTGAGCTCCAATAGGGGCGTACCACGTGGTACAAAAATACAACAACAATAGCAAGTCTCCCAACACCTCCCACAATAACCAAACAAATTCATAATAATATTGCACAATATACAATATTAAAAAATTTATAATTTTCTCAATAGCCACCCAATTAACATGAAATAACACTAATCACAAATTAAAAGCATGGTTACCTCGTGGCTTTTTTAATAAATTATTCCTTACAATTTCTCTCCCCACAATCTTCACCAATAACACAATTTACAAATAACATATTATTTGTAAATATTAGTTTCAATTATTGAAACTAATAAAATAATTCTAATAATAGAATTAAAAAATAAACATAATTCCTAATCTCAATCTTAATACAAATTTAGAGTTAATACTATTAAGTAAAATTTTTAACTCCTCTTTTACTCATCAACAAACATTAATAATCTAAAAATTAAATTTAAACTAATTTCTATTATCAACATTTTCTTTTTTATTTTAAAAATTCACACCTAAAATATCCAAAAATTAAAAATTGAGTCTCTAGCTTAGAATCATAATCCTATAGCCATAATAATTCATTTCTCATCCCAAATAATCATCTAAACCTCAATAAATCAACATATATTTTTAAATCTAGTTTAGAATTTGATTCATAAACCACAAATTCAAAGATCATCAACGAATTTATACTCTAGAACATTTATTATACTACTAACAACCTCAAAAATTATATTTATTCAACATAAATTCCTTCCTTCTTCAAATTTTAAATTTTATACCACCATAAAATTAGAAACCAAAGAAGAAAGATGACTAAGAAAATTTTTTAGAATACTTATTTAGTCTTGAAAAGCTTAAAATCATACCCTAAATATCCTATTAAAAACTCTTACCTTAAAAACTCAGATCTCCCGCACCGGCGAAACTAGACACTCTCTCAGCCTCAGCTCGCGCACAAGGAAAAATAAAGAAAAGAAGGAAATAGGTGAGTTTTTATAAAAATTCAGTGGGTCTCATATTTTTTTATTATTTCTTCTTTCCTCTCTCTTCTTTCTTTTTTTTTATTATTTTATATGTAATCATTACGCGGCCGCCAAAAGCAAACTCGTTGTTCTTCTTCTTCTTCCCTTTTTTTAATACCTTTTCTTTTTTTAATTATAATAATAATTTAAAAGCCGACCCCACCTAGTGGGATAAAGGCTTGTTGTTGTTGTTGTTGTTAATTATAATAATAATTTAATAATATTTTTTTATTATTTTTTTAATTTTAATTTAGAATTATATCCTAAGTTAGATTTAATAATCATCTCCTACTAATTTGCTTACCTCTAAATATTTTTTTAAATTTCAATTAACCCAAATTAACTATTAAAATTTAAATTGGGATGTTACAGCAACAGTGACAAAAATCATTTGAAAATTTTGAATCTATCGTGAATGTAATTGCTTAAGGTTATGACAATATTCTTAAGCTAGATGTGCTCGGTCTCAATCTTCGATTTTGAACAACCTATCTTACTATGTTAAATTTCAAGTTTTGCAAATAAGAAAAATAAGTCGAGAGGGAGAAAGGAAGGGGGCAAGATACATTGTGATAGAAATAAACCATATGACATTAATTTTGACAAAATTAATCACTATTGCACCTATTAAAGTAACATTATAGGTATTTATACAATGATCGATCAACATCTGCAAAAATTCATCTTAAAATATTTTTTATCTACATTAGTGAAAAAATAATCAATTTCTGCTTAGGTGTCAACTAAACGGTCAACATTTAAGTAATTAGATGTATTGGTCACTTATGCACCAACTCTAATAATGTTATGAATATTTTTGCTCTTGGCCAACGACTTTGTGAATATTTTTACCCCTTTTTAGTCCACGTCAGTAAAGATTAACACGTAATATGTACAGTTAGCATTTAACAATCAAAATTAATGGCGTTAAGTCAAAGTTAACAGTCTAATTACTTTTACACTCATTCATGTAATATTATGGGTATTTTTGCCCTTTTCATCACTTTAAGATATTGGGTGTCCGTGACTAATTACTTTGTGGATATTTTTGCTCATTTATCCCTTTTTTTGCCAAAACTCCCCAAAAAAGCTAATTTTTTTAAACTTAAAAAATTTAGGGGATTTTAATTTTTTTTAACTTAACTCTAAAATTAAAAAAACTAAAAAAATAATTCAAAAAATGAATTCAGTCTTTGAATCTTGGCCTTTGAAGAATAGAGGGTCCTTTGAGTCCTAAATCCCTAGTGGATGAAACAATGAATGCTTTATCAATTCTTCAAACGAATTATGAAGGATTAAATCTACTATCAAGTTTCTAATACAAGTATATAACATTATAATACCATCAATTTTTTTACACATTCATTAGTATTAATTATTGTTTGTTGTAGGTGATGAATATATGAATGTTCCAAAGCCTCCATCTTTGCTTGATATTATTGCTAATGATTCTAGTTTTTCTCATTCAACTCCTAATGTCTTAGTGTCTAGAGATTTAAATAAAGTTAATAATTATCTTAGTGTTGGTGATTATTAATTTTAATATTTTTAATTATTGAAGGGTTGTAATTGTAAGAAAAAATATTTAAAATGTTGTATTTTATTATTATTCAACTTTTGAGTGGTTATATTTCTATAATTATTATTATATTTGTACCTAATATTAGAGATTGATCTTGAATTTAGTTAAATACTTTTATAATTAATGTATTTTTATTTAATTATATTATTTTAATCATAACCGAATTGTCTTCCAAATTTATCCCTAATTGAACCACTAACTCA